CATCTATTGAAGGACCTCATCATTTGCACAAGCACTAGAATCTCTTTTACTGTTGTATGGTCTGTTTTCTGGCTGTTGTTCATGGCTCTGCCTTAGTTTCTTTATCACACATGTTCTTGCTGCTGCCAGGGCAAGAACAAGGTCCAAATATCTCCCTCACAGAAGTGCTGACTTTAGCAAATGTAAACTGAGTAAAGCAGTGGTGATGTTGACCTGGCAGAGGAAGGAGCTGGGAGGGGGCAGAAATTGAGTGCATCTTTGACCTTTAGAAAGGTGACTTTTCAGACTTCTAAGAAAATGTTGCACATGCCAGAAAATGCCTGAACAAACTGTCACCATATCTCTTGGAGAAAAAAAAAAATATACCAACCACCGTTGTCTGTAGCACTCGTGTGGTTCCCCGCCTTTGGCGGTCGACTTGGTGTCTTAACTGGTTCTTCTACTCTGTACACTGTCTTCTTCCATCTCCTCGTTAACTTTGTTTTTCTTATCTTTGGAGATCCAAGATGAATTGAACAAGGTCAAGAATGACATTAGCAAGAACATGTCATTTCTGAAAGTGGATAAAGAGTATGTGAAAGTTCTGCCTTCTCAAGGTCTGAGCCCATCTGCAGTTCTGGAGAAGCTCAAGGAGTACAGCTCTATGGGTACGGTTCTCGACAGATACATACCACTTACTTCATTAACCTGGCTGGGGCGGTTGTTTAATGCTTGCGTGGGTTAAGAACAGTTCATCCCTGGTACTTACATGCTCAGCACGGCCCACTTCCTGTCTCAGAGGTTGAATTTCATATTTTAAAAATTATGTTTAGATTCATCTTTCATCCATACAGCAAACAATTCTCAAAGACAGTGGAACTTGGTTTTGTTTCCTTTTGTGAGCCTGACTAAAACAGATGCATTTGTTTTTTAAAAGAGAATATGTGTAATAAAAATGAAATACAAAAATAATTTTTAATTGAAATACAGATCCATTATGGAAATTGTGAGATCTTCATAAAGACACAAAAGAAAAGTCACTATAATTCCCTCATCAAAAGATAAACACAGATGATGTGTGTGTATGTGTGTTTATCAGAATGTTAATAGTGTTTTGTATAATAAACACACACACATGAGCACACATATAGGAAAGACAAATGCACCAAGTAGTTTAATGCTTAAGAGAACAGCTCATGGAATCAGCCTGGATTCACATCCTGGTTTGGCTACTTAAAATATGATCTTGGGTAGGTTACTTAATTTCTCTGTGCCTCAGTTTGTCTCTCTACAATGGGTATAATAATAGTAATACTTACTTGAAAGAATGATTATAGAAATTAATGAGATCATTAATTTTGTTACAGATTAAGGTCATATTAGAAATACTTTCTTAAAGTAGGCCTTTTAGTTTGGCATAATTTCAGATTTATAGAAAATAATGCAAAGATAATACAGAGATTTCCCATATGCCCCTTGCCCAGCTTTTCCTGATATTAACATTTAAAATAATCTTGGTACATTTATCAAAGCTAAAAAATACACATTGGTATAGTACTATTAACTAAACTACAAATTCTATTCCTATTTCACCAGTTTTTCCACTAATGTCCTTTTTTTAAGTTCTGGGACTCAACACAAGATACCACATTTGCATTTCAACAAATATATTTTAAAATGTTGAATTGACATATGTTGAGTTTTTGACATTGGCTGGTACAAAATTAGATACAGCCCAGGATTTATAGATTATATAAAGCAGGGATTAGCACTTCGAGACCTGTATAGTAAGAATTTCTGTGTTTATACGGGCTGGTTGCTACCACTGTATTTTCTTCCCTTCCATTTTTAAGTCACTGTTCATTGCCATACTCTGTAGCACCAGTAAAAGAATAGGAAATGAAACTATGTATCCTATTTATGAAAGTCTGATGACCTCTGGTCTGAAGACATGTCTGGTGTAGGTCAGTGTCCTCTAAGAGAAGTGGGAAAGTCAAACTGGCTGCAAGCCAGAGTTTGGCAGATTGTGTGAGATTGAAGGATTAGTCTGGATATTCACTACTCAGTCCTCTGCTCTCTCGTTGGAGTTAAAAATCTTTGCTTTGTAGATCCCATTATTATAGTTTTCAGTTAGTGTGTTTCTATAATAGCTCTTACTACCCACTTTTAATAGGGCATAGCCATGCGATATTAGAAGGACCTAAGATGCCCACATTAACAGATTTGTTGGTACGATGTAGAATTTAGAATCTCAGCCAGGAAGTAGAAAGTCAGACCTTTATATTCTTCTCAGGAACCTTTCCTCAGAGCTTTATCCTAGTGTTGACTGTAGTCCAGATCTGAATGCTATAGTGTATGTTGCTGGAAGCAGGTGGCTAATTCTGTATGTGTTTCTGGGCTCATCTGGAAGAGAGGCCCCTGAGACTAAGATGTCACTGTGGCTTGTCTAGTTGGAGATTCAGTTCCCTGACTCCAACCCTGATACAGTGTACTGAAATTTCACTTTTGTGTTGCTCTTTTCTGCCGACTCTGCTCATAATAGTTCTCACACTTTCTGTGATTACATTGGAAGGGGGGGGACAAAGGAAGCATTGCAGAAAAAGGTCAACCTAAGCCATACAGAGAACAGAAAATGAGTGTCTAGATAGAAGAAAACTTCTGCTGTTAGAAGGCAGTTGGGGATGAAGACAGAAAATGAGTGTCTAGACAGAGGAAAACTTCTGCTGTTAGAAGGCAGTTGGGGATGAACACACTGTTGTTAGTTATAATTGATGATCTTTCATCTTTATTTTGCTGAGATAACTCTAATGGAATTCTTTCTTTCTTGATGTAATTAAATAAAAAACACTTTTGGATTGCCACTCGACTTTTTTGTCTTTTGTACTCAGAGGGGTTTCTTGTATTTCTTCTTTATGAGAACTTGTCTTCCCAAAAGTTCCTGCTTACTGACCCAGTGATCTTAACTTTCTTTGTAGATATCTTCTGGCAAGAAGGGAGAGCCTCTGGCGCAGTGTATAATGGGGAGGAGAAGCTCACCGAGCTCTTGGTGAAGGTGAATGCCCTGTACTCAGAGGGAGTGTGTGTGGTCTATGCCAGTTTATATTACCTCACTTTTTTTCCTTTTATAATTTAAAAATTAAGAAAAGTTTATTGTTAAAATAAAACCGGTTTAGAAAATTTCTCTTCACCCAAACAGGTAAATATGTATAATATTGTCAAAGACATCTTTAATCTGTAATAAAGTAAAATATTGCTTATAGATGCTCTGTGTAGAAGGCAGATTACCAGGGAAGGTAGTCCTATTGTTTGAGATTATTAATGATAAGACATTTCATTTGATAAGAAGAGACAAGGGATAGATACTTGGTTATAATTTTTTATACTACCTGAATTTCAAATCATATCATCTGAGGATGAGCAGTAGTCTCACTTATAAAATAATTTTTTTTTGTTGTTGTCATTGTTGACTTTACAGTTGCCTTTAGCATCTTCCATTTCTAGTCAAATTTATTTTTGAAATTCCATTTTGTCATATAATATTAGCATTGACTGATGGTCTCTAAGGTCTTTGTATTTGATTATTATAATCATGAAACTGCTCATACCTTGCTAAATATTACAGGTTTTGCTTAGCTATATCTTGACATAATCTTCTAATCTTCTATGCTTAAACATCCTTCAGTGGCTTCCCATAACATACAGGATAAAATGCAAGCTGCTTCTGTAGCACAAAATACAAGTGCCTTCCTGAGCCAGCTCCTACCTAGTTTTTTCAACCACTCTTATTACTGTCCTCCATAAACACTAACTCTTGCCTTTTCTCCTTACAGAGTACACCTTGCTCTTATGTTGTATTCATGTCTCGCCTTTATTCCACCTGTTCTCAGTAATGAATTCCCATTCTTCTCTCACGGTTCCACTCAATAGACACCTCCAGACCACTCAGGATGTTCATTATTCCCTTTTTAAAGGCCCCTTACTGTCACGTATACACATCTGGTATTGCACTTAAAATAGCTGCTTTGTGCCAGACACTCTACTAAGTGCTTTGCATATGTTATATATTATCTGCTTATTGCTAGAACTCTATTAGATCAGTCCCATAATTATCCCCTTTAGCATATGAGGAAACTGAGCCTCAGAGAGGTTATTCAACCTAAGATTATACAGCTGAAGGGACAGGCAAAGCTAAGACTGGGTTTGTTTGGTGTTTTAGTCTGTGCTTTTAACTACATACATTTATACTTCCTCTCTTACCACACTGTAAATTAGTTTGTCTCCTCCACTATATTTTGGTCTTCTTTAGGTTGGGAAACATATCTTACCATTTTTCTAGTTTCTGATGTTGTGCTTGATATCCTAGAAACTTTTGTTTAGTGTGTGCTTCTTGATCCTATGTGCTGTAATTGTCTTACTTCATATCTGCTCGCATTTCTCTGCAGGCTTATGGCGATTTTGCATGGAGTAATCCATTGCATCCTGATATCTTCCCAGGACTACGGAAGATAGAGGCAGAGATTGTGAGGATAGCTTGTTCCCTGTTCAATGGGGGGCCAAATTCCTGTGGATGTGTAAGTATATGCAAGAGGCATCTAACCATTTTTTTAGCTTAAAATAGAAGAGTTTATTAAAGTCATTTTACTTTTTTTAATTACATGAATAATACACGATTATTGTAGAAAGATTCAGAGTAAGAGCAGTTTTAAAATACCTGTATTTTTGTAATACATATAGTATCAACGTTTTGGCATATATTCTAGATATTTTCTCTCTGATTTTTTATTTTAAAAACTTTAAACCTACGTAAAGTTGCTGGAATAGATTAAAGAACATGTTAAAGTCGCTAAACATAAATATTTGGCCACATCTGCTCTCTCAGCTCCTTTCTTTTTCTCCTTCCCTCTTTTTTGTCTACCCACCCCACCTACCTCTCTACCCACTTATCTATGTAATTTTGTTGAACCATCTTGTAGTTTTTTGAGAAGCTTCTCAGTTTACTTGAGCTGGAAGTTTACTTTTCAATTTTGCTATAAATCGTATCCCATTTCATTGCTTTCAGAATAAAGGAAGAGGGTATCATTATATTTAAAGACACACATGAGGATCCCTTGTTTCAGCTGTTCTTTCCAGTAGATGTTTGTTAGTTTTCCTGAACTGCGATTAATAAACTTGTTAAGATTTGTTACTACAAACTGATATTATCTTCTCTAGAAAAAACTAAATCTTGGCTTATGCAGAATAGATGGATTAATCTCAGTATGTTGTAATGGTAACCTAGAGGTGCTAACTCTATCAATTACTTTAATAATCATTATAAAGTCTACAGATGTATTGAAGGTCCCATCCAAAGACAAAAACATTTTATAGTTACTTTTTGTTTTTTCCAATAAGCAGTGTTGTTTTACTTTATGTTGGCACCATGAAAATCGACATGTTCAGATATTCAGTAGCTAATAAAAATGGTATTCTTAGCATTCATTTTCCAAAAAATAATTCCAAAACTGTTAAAAACTGAACCGATTATAATCTAGCAACGGGTTCCCTTATGGCATTAGACTAACGGGGTAACATAGAGGGGAGATGATATTTTTTCAGTACATAGGTATTCTTCTGTGCCATTAGACTATGTGAACTTTTAAGAGACTGTATGTTAAACAACCACAAAACAGTTTGGCCTTATCCAGTAAAGTTGAAGGTGCGTGGGTTATGACCCTGAAATTCTGCTACTCAGGATATATCCTAGAAAAACTAGTATCTGTGTATATCAGGATAGAAGTATATTCATAGTAGCATTGTTCACAAGAGCTAAAAACTGGAAATAATTCAAATACCTGTCAACAGTAGAGTGGACACACTGCACAAGTACACAGACTGTTGTAGTTGTTAACTCAGATTGATGCCCAAATTGCTCCATTTTTGGCCAGTGGGAGCTTACTAATTTTGGCTCCTGGATGCTTTTGTAGACTCAGTGCGGTCTTTGAAAGCTTTCTTTCTTTCTTTTCCTCTTCTTCCTTTTTTTCTTCTTCTTCTTCTTTTTTTTTTTTTTTTTTTGACAAAATATTTTTGATGACATATTCCACATTCACTCTGCATTTCTTGCTCCAGACACAGAATCAGCCATTTGTCCAAGGAGCCCTGGTTCATTTATAACTATGTAAAATATTCACATTGTTCCTTAGTTAAATTTGTGGAACAAGACTGATTAAAAAAAAAATTAACCAGAAAGAAATCCAGAGAGACAAAAAATATAAAGTACAAAAGAGAGGTTAAGAAACATGAAGGATGGAGTGAGATGGGCTAACACACATTTAATTGGTGTTTAAAGCAGTCAGAAAAAATAGATTAACCTATAAAGGTATAACTATTAGAACAACTGGTATTCTCAGTAGCTGTGTGATAAGTACAGGGGTTTTATTAATTCCCTCTTTAGTTGTGTCTAATCTACACTTTAGTTCTTCCATTGAGTTTTTCAATTTCATTTACTATATTTTTCATTTGTGAAAATTTTTTTTTTTTTTTTTTTTTTTTATTCTGCTTGGTTGTCCTTTATTGTTCCTTGGCTTATATTTTGTTTAAATGTATTACACGTAATTATTTTATATTCTCTGACAGTTTCATTATTTATGAGCTGTATCTTTCTGTTTCTGCTGGTTTCACTTATGTTGTCTTATATTCTTATAGCTGTGACTTTTTTTTTTACTGCGAGCCACTCATTTTCCTGGGAATTTAACCTTGAGGCATAGTTCAAAGTTCTTCCAAAGAAGACTTGTAATTATTCGGCCAGTTGTTGGAGAATTGCTGGGAAGTGCTACCACATGGGAACCAACTTAAGTTCGGTTCTCAGCTTGTAGTTTTTTACTGCAGAGGCAGTATGAATTCGGACGACAGACTCACAGAAACGCTGTCTTGTTATACATTCTTGAGAGATTCTTAGTTTTCTTTACCTGAGCATCAGGGTCGAGAAAAGCAATTATTCTTGCTGTCCTCTTCTGTACTAGTGGGGTTTCTTTTTTGTACCCCTCAGAGTGTGGGTTTAGTTCTAGTGTTTTCAGCCATTTCCCATGAGAATACTTACTTTGGGCAGGCCCTAAATTTATCTCCTGTTCATTTGTCAGAGTAAGAATTTGAGGTCTCTAGGGGTCGGTAGCAACCCTCAAGAGTTAAAGCCAGCTTTAGCAGTCCTTTTACCTTTTAGGATTCTTGATTTTGCTTTGTTTGGGAGTTCGGTATATTCCTCTATGTTATCTCAGTGGCAGAAGTAAAAAAAAATTTAAATGTTTTGTTAGGCTTTAGTTGTTTGAGGTAAGAGGGTTCCCCGAGGTATATAATCTAAATTTCCGGAAATAGAACTTCCATAATTTTTTTTTCGGTGTGCGAGACCGTTGTGTACTTGAAAGCCTCTCTCTCCCTGAATTGTCTCTTCCCACATTTTTCCTAGGTTACTCAGCTCTTCCTTAGAGAATATGATTCCACAAATTGCCATCTATCCTTGTCATTCTTTGAATGCTTTTTGATTATCTACAACTAGTCAGATGGACACAGTTCTCCTAGCATGTAGTGACTTTGATCTTTCAGTCTCTCTCTTGTTTATCTAGTTCCACTAAACTTATCTTAAACCTCTCCTCTGAGTGAACCTTTTATTAAGCAGTGTTTAATTTTATTCCTTGCTATTCCTAATGTATTAATTAGTTCTGTATTGGTGCTGTTTGGTACTTTGTTTTTTTTTAAATCTGCAGTCTCATTTTGTTGTTTCGGTGTCCCATCTTTCAACTCTTGTTTTCTTGAATTCATGTTCTTATGATATTATCCTATAGGGAGAAACAGTTATGAGGAATTTCCTTCTGTTGCTTGGGTGGTTACCTTCAGAGTTAAGCTTTTATTTTGCACACCATTTTTTTTCTTTGTATGTGTTTGCATAGTTACCGTGCCATTTTCTTTCATGTTGGCTCATGCTCAGGTGGCTTTCTCTAGACATTCTAATTGTTTTGATGGATGGTGGGTGATTTCTGAGAGAATTTGGTTGCGGGCAGGGCTCAACTAAAGCTTTGTTCCACCTGTGTTAGAACATATCTAAGTCTCATCTTGAAATTTGTTAAAAGTTATCTACCAGAGTTTACTCTGCCTAGTTTGGTCTTTGATTATTTCTTTAACCTATCCTGCGTCGTTGAAGTCTTCATTCTGAAGTATCAGTCCAGATGTTCTCTCTTCCCTTTTTGTTTATTTCTCCTTACCATCATGTCCACCACTCACTGATATGAAGATCAGGAAAGAAGATAAGGAAAGGCCCCTCCACCTGCTTCTTTGAAGATTTGGGGGGGGTGTTAATAAAAATTCTCAGGATTTTGATGACTCACCCAGGACAATTTTTAGGGCTTGTTTTTAGGAACTGTGTTTTGCTTTCTGCTATGGCTTGAAAACTTCTGTTGTTTTGTTTTGTTTTGTTGTTTTGTTTTGTTTTGTTTCATTACCAGTATTTGAAGTTTATTGCATTAGATTACCTCTTCTTTCCTTGTTTGGCGGTTGTTATTGCAAATTTTTACTATTTTTATTTTTTATTTTTTATTTTTATTCATCCTTACAGGTATTGGGAGAGAGATCTGTGAAGTTTTTAATTTTAATTTTTAGTTTTTAATTTTAATCCAGAAGTCCAATGCTAGGGTGTTTTTTGTTTGTTTGTTTTTGGTGTGTGTGTGTGTGTGTGTGGTATTGGTACAGCTAAGCTATGTTGCTCCCACTCTGATCTTTTTTAATGGACGTATCAGGGATTGGGAAGGATAAAGTCTAAGATCCCCAGTCTCTGCTAATACTAAAGGACTTTTATATGATAGCTAATTACCTCAGAGATTATTCGAGTTTCTCCTCAGTGTCTCTCCTCTCTCTTTGTACATCTCTCTGTCTTGGTCTTTCTCTTGATGCGCTGCTTTTGGTGAAGAAAATTCAGAATTCAAAGGTCGAAAACATGAAGACAAAGCCAAGTGGCTGGCTTGTTTTTAGAGTATTCCCAATTAAGGTATTAAACTCTGCTCCTTAGTTCTTCAACCTTCTTTACTTTTATTAACTTCATTTGCCTCAGAATAGATGAGAGGTGACTTCATATACCAAAAGAAATTAGGTTGGCAAGGAAAACAGTCTTGGCTTATGCAAATGCCATTAGGGCCAAACAGCATCTAAAAGAAAAATTTCCAAATAGGTCAGAGTTTTCTCTTGTTTCCTGACATAGATATCCTGTGTTAGAGTGAGAGTTTTTATAAATGTTGAAAGAAGTTGACTATCGTAACAAGTAGTTATTGAGGTCTGTACCTTCTTACTTTACAACTAAATTTTTGTTTTCCTTTGTGTAAAGGGTGTAGAGGGAAATAGAAGAGTAGCAGCATATTTAAACATAGAATTTGGGGATCAGAAATGAAAATTAGAAGTAGAATTAAGGTGTTCCTGCTTTTACAGTCAAGTACACTGGTGTTAGCCTTACAGATAATGATGTTGATTTGATTAGTTATTAAAATAGGATATGTGAGGTGAGTGACTAAGGATTTGGAAATATTTTTCCTGAGGTCATTACTGGCCCTATAGTAAGAGAACATTGTCCTGGAGGCTGGACTTTGTCGGTCCTTTCCTGCCTTTCTTCATAACTGGGTTGGTTCCTCATGTGACATTCTGAGGTTTTATGCTAGACCACAGAATAGGCTACTGATTTGCAGAGCTGACAGCTGTAAGAATTTTGTCTGCTCCAGCATAAAAATGCAGAAACCTACAATAAGTATCTTGTGCCCAAGTTCATTACATTACTTTGGATACCTGTTTCATGAAGACTTCCGGAATTAAAACCTAACTTTTCTCAGCTAATCTTCCATGTAACTCCTGACCACTGGCATTTTGTATCCAATGCTCTTTTTGTCCTACATGTGAATATTATTCTGGGAAATTTCAGTAACCACCCTTTCTCATTCCATCTCATATTAAGCTACACTAAATACAAAAACGTAATGGGTGACGTTAGGTGAATTACTTCAGTCTCTCAGTGGCTCAGTTTTCTCATCCGTAAAATGAAAAAGGTTTGTAACATTGTATGAATCTTCAGAAACGATAAATTTAAGAAAATATCTACCTAACTCAGTGCTATGAGTCTTTTTTTCTTGTTTGTTTTAAAATTATTTGTTTTTAGATGTTAGCAAAAGATAGCCAGAAGACTCTGATGTGCCTTCGTTAGTCAGGGTTACTAAGAGTCAAATCTGGCATTAAGAAATGTTAATTGAGGGTCTCTTAAGTGTCAGCTACTAGGGTAGGTGCTGGGAATATTGCTATGAACAGATTAGTTCCCACTTTCATGAGTTTGTAGTCCAGTGAGGACAATAGGATGAATGAAATAATCTCTGAACGTTTTTGTTTTCAACTCTGGTAAAGAAATTTGCCTATGTCAGAGAGGCTAGACCTAGTTTCAGGAAAACATTTTATTTCCTTTAAAAACATTAGGATTTTTGTTTTGATTTCAGATAAGTAAGATAATAAATTAAGTAGAGGCTTCTGCTTTTCTCTCTTTCAAATTTGTTAAAAGCCACAGGTTCACTTTGGAATGCCTGAGTTGGTCTTTTAATGTATTACATAGTTTACTAGAATTGTAACTTCACAATTTTACATTCTTCAATGGGCATTGAAAATTTAAATCAAAGTCAGTAATCCTGATGCTTTTGAATGACGTGAAATGCCCTAACTTATCTGCAGCCGGACAAATTAATGCAGAAATGGATTGTGCACAGATCTGGGCAGACGTAAGTTTGTCCAGACAGTGCGGAGCTTCTGCTCATTCTTATTTTGTAGTTTTTACTCTTCTCCTGTGCCAAGATTGTGCTTAGTCAACAAAGCAGAATTTTTCTTCTGGAAGACATAGTAGTGTCTATTCTGTGGCATGCAAGACGTTAACTGTTTCTGCATCAGATATCAGGGCAGGAAGTGCATGCTGACAGCTCTAACTGCCTTTTATGGATGACATCTCTTCTTTTTTACAGGTGACCTCTGGGGGGACAGAAAGCATACTGATGGCCTGCAAAGCTTATCGGGACCTGGCCTTAGAGAACGGGATCAAAACTCCAGAAATGTATGTATGTGTGGTTGCTTCTCCCACATCCACACCCCGCTAAATTTGTCTATTTGGAATACTGCTGTATGAAACAGACTGACAATCTGTTTTCTACTTCTTCTCTTCCTCTGGCAAGTCCAGTCCTCTTTTTTTTCTGTCCTGTGCCCTTGACCTTTATCCCTTCATATTTAGCAAATCCTAGGTGGATCAGCCAGTTAATTTTCAAGATCACCCCCTCCCCCTCCCAGTTTATTATATGGTATATGCTGTAAGCAAGAATGAGATTCTTTTTCTAAAAGTGACAATGACAGGACTATATCTTTGAATTCTGTGATATTTATAATAAATTACCTGGAGCCTAAGGAAAACTCTCTGCTTTTCTTAGTTCAGTGAAAGTTAGTTAAATATAATAGGCTGCCTTGGGGTGCTCCCTAAGAAAATTTTAGCCTGAGGGCTGTTTTCTGGGAGTAAAATGTTTCAAAATCTTTTTGAGATTTACCCATATTGTACCCCACGGACATAATTTTGGTACTTGGTTGCATTTTTTTCTCTAGACCCTCCTTGTACAGTTTGTTTATACTACGTTGTTTGGGTTAACGTTTTTCCTGCAAGTGACTAAGGGTTTTGTTGCATATGATCTCATGCTGATTCATACTTAGCCTAAGAAAACAAATCAGGCTGCCATCTTTCTTCAAACATAAATCTTTAGTGCCTGGTACTTACTCAGTATTAGAGGTTTTTCTTCCTTAAAGGGAACAGATGAATTATAAAAGTTGAACAACTGAGAGACGTCTGGAAGCAAATACTTAACTGTGACTCACTTTTCTTTTTCAATACTATTTGAAATGCTGCTTCCAAGTGTGTAGTGAAAATGGAGATTTTAGTTTTTCATAGGGTCATGGTCTTTCAGAGATGGAGGGGACCACTGACCTGATGCTTGGCTGCTGCTCTAATATCCCTGCCACACAACCTTACATTTTTTCCTTGAACATCTCAGGAAGCTTGCTCCCCACTCAGGTACCTATTTAATCTTTGGATAGACAACCACTAGAAGGTTCCACTTGATCTGATCCAAAGTTTCTGTCCCTTTTACCTGTCAGCCTAATTTATGCTTTGGATCCCTTGCTGTGGGATTACTTCTGAGTTCTTCCTATTGCAAAAATGGTTTCCTAAATAGTAGGGAGATTTCTCTAGAGTATCAGTTGACTTCTTTTATGTTTAAAAAGTAAATATGTAAGCATTTTTTAAAATTTGAGGAAAAATAATTAGAAGTTTACTCCTGATGAGTTAGATTAGCTGCTAACTATGCTCTCTCTTGAACCCCATTTTGATCTGGATTTTGTTATTCTCTTCTTCCCTGTCATTTAGTGTGGCCCCCCAAAGTGCCCATGCTGCATTTAGTAAAGCAGCCCATTATTTCGGGATGAAGATTATACGGGTTCCACTGAACAAAATGATGGAGGTGGATGTTCGGGTGAGTTCCTTTGAAAGGCCATTTTCGGCCTTGGGATGTGAGAAGCAGGAAATGGTACCCGATTGATTATTTTTTCCAGTGTCACATGCAGATCGGCTCAAAATACCTTTGATTCTAGTAGCCACAGTTGCAAAAATGACCACTGGCAGTGATGATTGGTTGCAGCCTCATCTTTTCATAGATTGGTGAATTCTAATAAGAAGGTGATCTAGTCTCTAACTGGAGACTTTAAAGACCTGGGCTTTCTTATAGTACCATCACTTTCTCTTCTCTGTTTGTAAAATGAGCATGGACTAACTTGCCCCAAGACTCTCATTGTGATTTTGATTGGCATGAATTATAGTACCATTGCTATGATAATAGTACCTTTTTTTTTTCAGAATTGAACTATTCCTGTTTATTAGCACTAGCATTATCCCCCTCTTCTTTATTGAGATATTAACTGACAAATTAATTCACAAAGAAAAAATTGGATATATTTAAGATGTACAAGTTAATGTTTTATGTAAGTGTATTGTGAAATAATCACAATCAGTAACATACACATTACCTCACATAGTTACCATTTTCTTTCTTTCTTTTTTAATGGTTAAAATACTTAAGACTAGATCTCTCAGCAAATTTCAAGCATACAATGCAGTATTAACAATACTTGTTAAATAGTCAAATGGCAATACATTAGATCTCCAGAACTTACCTTGCATAACTGAGACTTGGTATCCCTTGACTGACATCTCCCCATTTCCCTCATGCTCTGGCCCCGGGCAACCACCATTCTACTCTTGCTGTAATGAGTTTGACTGTTTTAGATACCACATATAAGTGAGATCATGCAATATTTATCTTTCTGTCCGTGGCTTATTTAACATAGCATAATGTCCCTCAGGTTCATCCATGTTGTTGCAAATGGTAGGATTTCTTTTTAAGGGTGAATAATATTCCTTTAGTAATTATTTCTATGCTTTGCATTTGTGTAGAACTTTCCAGTTTTCAGAGTGCTATCAGAATTGCACTTGAACCTTATGATACCCAAGAAGGTCATAGAAGCTGTTAGTGTTATTGCAGTTCACAGCTGAGGAAACGGATTGGGCGAAGTGGTTTACTCTAGGTTTCACTGCTAGTAGGTGGGGTATTTGTCTCTTTTTCTTCTTAGCCCAGTATTCTTTTATCCCCACGATGATTTTGCTGTTTTTGTATTGTGCTCTCAGACCATTTTCTTGAAATGGACTCACGTGGCCTTGTTTGTTTTTTACAACCTTGGTGGGGAGGTGGTCTTCTCCCAGGTTGGAGAGGTGAAGGAGAGGGCACTAGCGGAACTGAAATTCTAAGTTAGTAGCCTAGATTAATTTTGGCAGTGACAGGAAGAGTAACTGTGACGTGGATGCTTATTTTCCTTTCGACATTAAACCCTAGGCAATGAGAAGAGCCATCTCCAGGAACACTGCCATGCTCGTCTGTTCCACCCCACAGTTTCCTCACGGTGTGATAGATCCTGTCCCTGAAGTGGCCAAGGTACATGAGAGGAATGGGCTCCTAGGCAGTCAAATTAAAATTTTTAAATAGAATCTCATGGTACAGTACTTGGCAGATAGAAGCGATTTTGAGTTAGATTTTAACACAGTAGTGATGGATGGCTCTCCTTAGCTCTGTGGTAAGCCTATAGCTCTGTTCGGAGCCTCTGAAAGTTAGCTTTTGCTATGGAAGAAGACTTTGTTTAAATTGGATATTCCGAAATAGGACTGACATTTCGATTCAGGTTAGGAAATAATCATCATTTAGGAGTATGCCTGCCAGAGAGTGGTACTCAACATGCTGCCCCATAGCACCCCGCCGCCCCCGGGTCCTTTCGTACTCTGCAGTTAACAAAGCAGAACCTTTTTCCTCCTCCAGAGGCAGCCTAAATCAGTACAACTCATTTCCTGCTTGATTTTGCCATGAGTTTGAAGCCTTGCATATTCAAATATAAAATAGCTACCACATTTCAGATGAATTATTTTAAAGGCTAACTACATTAGAAAGATGAGCTTTTATTAGGAATGTCAAAAGTAGCCAGTTTTTTAAAACATGGGAGACATGGTGCATGATAGCTTTGTGGTTATAGCTATGTTTCCACCCACGTCTTGCAGAGTTTTTGTTTTAGGGCTAAAATGAAATTCTCGCGTGGTCTTTGTTTTTTTGGGACCAGCTGGCTGTCAGATACAAAATACCTCTTCATGTAGACGCTTGTCTGGGGGGCTTCCTCATCATCTTCATGGAGAAAGCAGGATACCCACTGGAGCAACCATTTGATTTCCGGGTGAAAGGTGTGACCAGCATTTCAGCGGACACCCATAAGGTGAGCTATGGAAGAGAACAAATGTTAATCAAAGTTGACAGTTGATTATTTTGACTATTATAATTGGTTAAAGCATTAGCTTCCCCCCAATATGTAAAATTAAATCTGGCTCCTTGTTCTCACCAGGGCAGCCGATTCAGGTGATAAGGTATAGTGGTAGAGGTGAAAAGCAGTAGTGGAAAGGAACCTATTATCTTTATGTCTTATGGCTGAGAGAATTTCTGTATGTAATGGACCTGCTAGTGCAGTGGCCCTTATAAAAGAATTCCCTAAAGCCTCGAGGTTGTTTGGGTGAGGGTAGAAGTGAGGTTGATTTTGGAATTCCTGAGAGAGAAGGAGGTATGTTAGCGCTGCAGCTCCCATGCTCCTGGGGCTCCTGCAGCTAAGTGACAGGAGTATGTTGATGGAAGAGTCCTTTGGAAAAAGGGAAGAACTTACCATGCTCAGGAATGTTTGTTAAACATTGTTTGAATGTTTGACTTGTCAAATGTTTGAAATGTCCATGCCTGCCACACTTTGTGGACGGAGGTAAAGTCTAGATCAGTTTATTTTAAAGCTGAATTAAGTAGCTTCTAGATTCTGAGCACCATGATATTCTTAAAAAGAAAGTGTAATACTAAGCAAAAAAAGATCAGAAGGGAGTCAGATCGTGATTTCAGTTGTTCCAAGAGACTTGAATTCCATCCTTCCCTGGCTTCCAGGGGAAAGTTATCTTTGTGTCCATACTGAGATACCACTCCAGAGTAATGTTTTCAATAAGGAAAACCACATACTGGGTGGGGGAGGGGAAGTAAACCGATTAACTGGTCAAAGTGCTGTTCTTCCTGGGCCTCAGATTCTTCATCCCTAAAATAGAGAATTTCAGCTCCATCCTTTCAGTTCCTTCTACCCTTTAACTTTCTAACTTTGAATTTTTAACGTGAGTGGGAAACATATCATAGAGAAACTAACAAGTGAAGGAGAAATTTGTGTGATGAGTTTCTAGACAGGTCTGCCATATAGCACTATACACTCACCTGTCTGCTTCTTCCCTCCTCAGTATGGCTATGCCCCCAAAGGCTCTTCAGTGCTGTTATACGGTGACAAGAAGTACAGGAGCTTTCAGTTCTTCGTTGATCCAGATTGGCAGGGTGGCATCTACGCTTCCCCAACCATTGCAGGCTCAAGGCCTGGTGGCATTAGTGCAGCCTGCTGGGCTACCTTGATGCACTTCGGTGAGAGCGGCTATGTTGAAGCTACCAAACAGATCATCAAAACTGCTCGCTTCCTCAAGTCAGAGTATGTGTGGAAGATTGGGATTCTACCTTGTCTTTTGCTTCGTCTGCTGCTGGGCTCAAGGCCTCTGCCTGGCTGAGCACTCCTAGTCCCAGCCCATTTTCTGTCTCCTAAGAGACCAAGAGTTTAGGACCACAGCTTAAGAGTGTGGTGCTGGGCTGGGAGGATAAGAGCCCTTGCTCTGCTGTGACTTGGAGGTTCAAATCTGGCCTTCATTGGTAGGCCACCTTGTCTCCAAGGATGTCTTAACTGGCAGCTCTTACCAAGTGCTGACGGACAATTTAATGGTTAAGACAGTGGTTCTCAAACTTGACCGTGCACCCTCATCACCTGGAGGGCTTGTTAAAATGCATATTGCTGGGCCCCACTCCTAGAATTCTGATGCAGTACATCTGGAACAGTGGGGGAGGGTCTGAGGATTTGTATTTCTAGGAAGTCCCCTAGGAAGTGGATGCTAATGCCCGCTGGTCTAGGAATCATACTTGGAGAATCATTGGACTAAGAACAGAATTGAGGGTTGAGGAGATGAGGAGATAGAAGGAACAGGGAGTAGGGTGATGAAATGTCAGGTTAAGCTAAGGCTAGAACTCGGCTGCGTGCTTTGTCTAGCACATCTGTTTACATATTACCCGCCTGTTTCTCTGTGTATCACCAGGATTGGGGAGGCTTTTTCAGCGTCTCGAGGGTGAATGAAAGTGACCAGTGGGCATGTCTCATACCAATCTGTTGAGAACTGCTATGTCATTTCTTGCTTTAGGGATTATATATATGACTTGTTAAAACTGGGAGATAGATTATTTTTGCAGGTTTTTTTTTTAAAAAAGTACATCTTCTATGCCTCAGATGCCCCTGGTGGCATATCATAATTTGGGAGTTGGGTTAGGAGCCAGTGAATTTGATTCACTGAATCTAAGTGGGGTCTGAGCCTTTGAATATTTGTACAGTGTAGGATCCACCGATCGCAGTCTAGCCACCTTATTTTGGAAGATGAGAATACTAATGCCCTGAAGGGTTAGATTGTGTTATAAGGGAGACAGTAGTTGATTAAAAGAGATGATGACCAGAGGAATAGATGTGGCTAAATTTTCTTTTTGTTCCTTTTCTTGTTTGTTTTAAGACTGGAAAATATCAAAGGCATCTTTGTTTTGGGGAATCCTCAGTTGTCAGTCATTGCTCTGGGTTCCCGTGATTTTGACATCTACCGACTATTTAACCTGATGACTGCTAAGGGGTGGAACTTGAACCAGTTGCAGTTCCCATCCAGGTAAGCTGGAAGAATCCTCTTTTCCTTCCTTTGCTCCATGACTTTTGAAGAACTTGGGTAATAAGGTGACCTGAGTGTAGAGCTTAACTGCTGGAGCCCAGCACTATAGTGGCAACTGTAGTATCTATAGGATTTCTGTCTTGTCACCTGGAGTTATTCAGTATCAAAATAAGACCATTAGCTTTAGACTCTGGCAAAATTAGGTAGTAGCCTCTTGAGATCAGCAGTCAGTCATAAGATCCCTCCATCCCCACTCTCTTTCTAGGCTCAGTACTCTCCAGTCTGTCATCGGGTGGCTCTTCTAAACTGACTCGTTACGAGTAGTACTTAGCTCAAAATCTTCCAGTCGGCCTCTAATCATTCAGGCCTGCTACTGTCTTCTTTAGTATGTTTTTCTAACCTAATCTTCCTTTAAGTAAACACTCTACCCAACAGAATAGGTTACTTTGGTCTCCTCCACATACCCCTAATCCTCTCACATGTTGGCACCATTGCCAGTCCTATCTGGACTCTGCTTTTTCCTCTTCACAATCGTTCTGTACCCCAATCTCTCTCCAGGGGAAGTTAGAGTTTATTTTTTGCCCTCACATCCTTTAAGACCCCAGCCTTTGTCCCTATCACCATGAGGGTTTATCATCTAAGATAAAAGCATAACCTGCTGGTGGTCACATGGGTGCAGGACTACTGGTGAACAGTTCTTGAGGGGAGGGGTGGGACAAAACAGCCAGCTGTATTCATTCTATCAGGTTGGTTTTTGATCACGCTGAGAAAACCTCATGCCAGCCTGGGCTTGACAACCCATTTATTTGAAAACCCTGATGCCCAGGGCTGGGTATAATTTGGATGACTACACTTGTCACAAATAACATGAAGAAACAACCTATCCATTCCTTTATTGGGGGCTGCTTTATTTTAGAATTTTTTTTTCCTTTTTCCAAGGCTCACCTCTCTGTGTCTCTTTCTTCACCCGTAGTATTCACTTCTGCGTCACGTTGGTACACACCCGGAAGCGTGTAGCCATACAGTTCCTAAAGGACATCCGGGAATCTGTCACTCAGATTATGAAGAACCCTAAAGCAAAGACCACAGGAATGGTAGGTACACGTGGGGTTTTTTCTTCCTGTGGAAGTTTAGGTGTTGGGGAGAGGGGTGGTTTGAAAGAATCAGATGACCTTGAGTCTGTTCCTGTCTCTGTTCCTTATCCACAAACCTGTTTCCTTATTTACTTGGAGCTGATGATGTCTGCCTTACCCATTCCCAGGGTTTTTTAGTTTCAAATGAGGTATAGTATATATAAAGCACCTTATATATTTGGAAGTGGTATACAAAGGCAGTTGATGATAGTGTCCATTTGCAAAGAAAAATTTGACACAGGAATGACAATAAACCTGTATTCAGTGGATTTTTCTATAGCAAATCCCATAGGATTGTTCCTTTGGGCAGAAAGGCAGACTGGCAAGTACCTGTAAAGATGTACCAATGAAAGCCATTGTCTTTTGATCAAATGGAGCCAGGGGTGGGAATGGGGTAGGGGAGAGGAGGGCACATGGAGGGCAAGGCTGGGGGAGAGGGAGGTCATAACCACTCCTGTCCCCTCACTGACTGCGATTCTTTGGCTGCATTTGTAGGGTGCTATCTACGGCATGGCCCAAACCACCGTCGACAGAAACCAGGTAGCAGAGTTGTCCTCCATCTTCTTGGACAGCCTTTTCAGCACAGACACTGTAACTCAGGGCAGCCAGATGAATGGCACTCCAAAACCCCGCTGAGCCCGCACCCTTTCGAGCCCCGAGGAACTTCTGGCTTCAGAAGGTTCTAGGGGTGTTGAAGAGGCCACACAGTTTCAACATCTGGTCTTGCTCCATAGAGCACAGGAAGACCGACCACGAGACAGCTCGATCCTCAGAACTCTTGTTCCTCCTTTCAGCATCCTTTTGTGTTTTTTTTCATATGAAGACCCTGGAGGATTCCATTACGTAATTATTTTGCCCTTGGTTTAAATGGCATCCTAGGAATTGTTTTAACCATTTCCTTCTCTAACCTCTCTAACTTTCAACCTCACTGAATCGTGTGGCAGTTCTGACCTGTCCTGATTTCTTAGGGAAGCTGGGATACAGTTTATGAGATAGAAAAAGGTTTTCCTTGGTATCTCAGGCAGATTGGATGGTCACATGGGAAGCAGTCACATAACACGTTTCCTCCAGTGAGTGTGAGGTATACTCTAAGCAGGAGGCTTTTTCAGCCTGGCTCTTTGAGTAATTTAGTTGTTTCTCTTGGACTGACTTTTATTGTAACTCATTTTATTTTTCCAGGACATGACTGACCAGGCCATTGTTGCTATTATGCAGGATAGCAGTGGTCAGCCTGTCAAGGCAGGGTATGGAGTGGTCCATTGTCCTCTTCTGGAGTGCAGTCCTTATTTGATACTTGGTTGCCACCATCTTTGGAGATTCTTATTTGAAATTGTGCTCTCACCGGTTTGTTCTTGTTTCCGTGGGCTAGGAAAAGAATGTGGTTCCCAGAGGATGTAGGACTTCCTGGTCCTAGTGCTGCCTCTGAACTGGCAGTGTTCGGAGCACACGTGAGCCCTCTCCGGAGCTGAAGATGATCAGAAACCAGACCTTTTCCTACACTTTTCTGAGTAATCAGAGTAGGATGAGCACCCAGATGCAAATATATGTCACCAAAGTTGGTGTGGTCCTCCCCTCACCCACTGCTTTAAGCCATCGTGTATGAGACTCAAAGCACCTTCACAAGTTGCCTTGATTTACCCTAGATGGTGCAAGGAGGGCGTCAGAGAGCCCCCAAGGCAAGGAAAAATTTCTCTCTCCATTAGTGTGTTCTTCCTGCCTTCTCCCCATTTATTCAGCTCCCAAAGGTACTATGGCAGTTTAGCCTCAGGTACTGGACGCTTCTCAGCCCTGGCTAGGATGAGATAAACATTTTGGAATAGGAAACCATAATGGTGTCAGTTGTAGCCTAGAGTCTGGGATTTCTCCATAAGACTAGTTGCTCAGGGTGGTGCAGGGACAGGACCAAACCCTGCACCCACTTCCTACCCTCTTCTTCCCTGCATGGGGCCAGGACCTAGGTTGAGCCACTGTCCTAATGATGACATATCTCGTGTGTGCCTTTTTCCTCAGCAGGGAGCAGTGGTAGGCTATTCCTAACCCAGGCCATGGTGGGGGTGGGGGATGGATCAGTCTTTGAGATTTTTATTTGGTTAAGGGAATACTTAGGATAAGTCAGGAAAAACTTCTCTGTTCCATTACCCTTCTCAGGGACTCTTGAATATTCAGCCTCTTTAGGCTAGCATCTTCTCGCCTCCCTCACTGGTATGCTGGTGGCCAAGAAAGCCAAGACAACCAGATGTTTCCCCGAGCTCCTTACCACTTTTGTCTGAACTGTTCTTTAGCACTGTACTTCCTACATAAAACTGTGACTGGGCATGTCTTTGCAGGGCTGGTGTGTATGTGTGTTTCCTCCTGTCCATTGTGGGTTCCAAGAATGGTTGGGTGCTGTGTGCGTGCGTGCGTATGTGTGTGTGTTAGAGGGAGAAACTCAGATCTTTTGGACTTGGGGGTAATGTTCCCTCCAGTTGCTGTGAACTGGTGGGTACCTCTTGAGAAGAGGTGTGGTTAGAGCTGTACATGAATTGTCTCTTGCGTCTCCAGTGCATTCATTATGTTGGAGGAAGTCCAGGGACCCCAGACCCACCCAGCAGGCACCACTGTGGTTTGTCAGCTGCTAAAATGGAGAAGCATGTGCCCTACAGAGTGTTCTATTGCTTCTTTTGTCTCCCGTGACCTTCCTCTGTTCTGTGACAACATTGCTGCCCAGGGTGGGGTAGGGTTGGTGATGGTGGGGGTACTTTTCAAAGGGACCTACTGTAGCCACTTTAATTTATGATCATGAGCCTTAGTTTGACTTAACTCTTGTGGGCTTTCCAATCTGTGTGTATCTGCACGTAGTAACACCCAGTCTCTAGCAGAGGTGGCTGGAATGTCTAGGTGATATCACGTTGCTAGCAGATGTCACAAACTCTGCAAAAACTGTACTGTCTTGTTTCTGCATTAGAAGTAAGTAGTCCCCTGTACATACTACCATGACACTTTTAATATTGTTTAATACTTGGAAAATGGTACTTGTCCCCTTTAAATCTTTTGTCTTTAACCAACCCCTTCACCTAATTGCAGCAATAATCTCTTAAAAAGCAATTAAGTAATTAAATGTCCCAAATCATAATTGTTGTGGATGGTTGCATTCATTTATTTATTTAGGCACACATGTGTGATCCCAGATGGGGTACTGGCAGCTCTTGAACTGGCTGCTGGTGAGAGATCGCCCCCTTGTGGGGCTATCAGGGCCAAAGAAGTGAATGAATGAGCAGCACTCCTGCCCAATTCCCAGCATTTTCATAGCTCTGCCAGGAGTAATGGTAATACCTGTTTTAAGGCGCTCTGGAACTCAGGTCTTTAATTCCCCAGGGCCAGGACCCTGCCTTATGTTTTCTGTCATCTTCATCACCAACTTCTACTTATACCTTAATGATGGATTGAGCCATTTGAGGTAGTCTTCAGCTACCTGGACAGTGGCTCTGTCTAACCCAAGGACACTGACTTTAAACCCTGCATTTGGTTTGGGAGCTGATAGAAACCCTCAGAGTGTCGTTGCACCTGTAACTGCTGGATGTCTTATTCCATTTATGACTAAGAAATGAAAAGTCTTTCCAAAGGGTCACTCAGGTTCCAAAGGCTGTCATTCAGATAACCAAGCTTTTTATTCTAGCTTTCAGCCCATTCATACTTTGCCAGAATCAAGCTGAGGAATGTAGTCTTGGTTATAGTTTTCTGCCAAATGACTCGGTTCCATGAGCACCTCTTTGCTTTGGGGTAAACAAGAGAGAGAGAGGGGCCAGGATATGCTTGGTTAGGAGGCCTGGCCCATCCAAGAAATGATGTCTGGATGCTTGTACCAGCTTCTTATAGCCGTGAGTCCCTTTGCCTTCTCTAGGTTCTTGGTAGCAACAGACCACTTATAGCTAGACCCAGTTGTCACAGAAGTAATGATGGAGGCCTAATTTGATAGCCACCAACTATAGCCTGGGCAAGCAAGTCAGGTGTTTGAGAGCTTTTTCTTAAGATTAATTGCTTCATTTTTCTTGTGATTTCTTCTTTTTCATAATCTCAATATCATCTATAATTTTAATTATTTGAATTAATTTTAGAATAAACATTTATTTCTAAAGAGTGTTGCTTGTGTCTTTGTCCCACATAAAAGTGCTTCATATAACTAGTGCTCTCTAGTTTGATGTTTTTCAATCTTCGATCCATGAGAATAAGCAGAGGCAAGAAGGTGATATAATACATAGTCCATATCCATGTCTGGTAGCTTCTATCCCCTTATCCACAATCATCAGATCAAAACACATTGAGAAAAATTTAAGTCGGAGATGGAGCAGATGGGGGACCACTGTCCGAACCTTTTTGGTTTTAATATTAAGCTTTACTGAGAACTAGCTCTTAACAGGTAGTAATCCTTACTAACATATAGGCTGGGAAGGGAGTCCTGCTACAGCCCCTCTTACCAGCAGCATGCTCAAATTTCAACCACCAACTGTGCCTCTTTTCTGGCCTTTGTTGCAGGACTATGGTGACTGGGTTGTGACATTGCTAGATGCCACTCCAAGTGACCCTAGCATTTGTAGGTCAGCAGAGTGCCCAGGCAGCTTCAGGTTAGAGAGTCATAGGTGAGAACTCTGCATAATGAAATGGCATTCACGAAATGATATCCATGTGGCATGCACATGGGGTACAGATGACACTGATCTTGTCCCCTCCCTCAGTCCTTGCACATCTGTGGTAATCTGTCCTAGGTAGTTACTGAGTTGGAGGACCAATCTGTGACTCTGTTCCTTAACTGCTCAGAAGGTAAATAGCCTATCATTTCCTAAGCTGTGGATTTAGTCATTGCCCTTATACTGTAAAAGCAGGCAAGCCTTGAGACTTCGGCTAAGTTTATAAGCGAGTGCAGAAACCATCAGGATTAGAAATCTCCCTGATACTGTGGCCCTTGATTGCCTTTCTAGTCAGGTTTTACCATATATTGCAGGTGCCCTGCACTCCTTTATCTTTGTTCATGATGCTCTCTCAGCCATCTCTGCCTTGAGAATCCAGGTTTTGGGGCTGGCTCCATAGTGTAGTGGTTAGCACGTCTGCTTTACATGCAGAAGGTCCTGGGTTCGCCCCCCGGGTGCACCTGGATGTAGGCGCAAGCTGCGAGCATGTGGGAAGAGACACCCCGCCTTCAGAGATCCAGTTCTCAAGGGGAAATGGGCAACATCCGTAAGTCAGGGGTGGAAGTGTGTGTTGCAGGCGGGAGGCGAATTAAAGAGGGGAAAAAAAAAAGAATCCAGGTCTTTGCGGCATAACTCAAATGAAGCCACCAGATTGACCCTTGTTAATCACTTCCCATTCTCTTAGCTCATAGCTCATTTCTTATCCTTGCTTCTAGTGTTAATTCATCCTGCCTTGTAATAGTTAACTGTTTTCCTGTTTATTTCCACCAGATGATAATGAACTCCTTGAAGGCAGGGTGGTCTGATTTCCTTTTCCCCAGATCCTTGCACATAGTAAGTGCTTTAAATGCTTGACTCCTATTTGGACTGACCTGTGGAAAAGAAGATTCTAGAGCCTGAAGCCAAGTGAAAGATAGTTTTATTTGAGGCGTAAAAGCACATGTGTTTCTGTCACATAGGATAGGGTTGGCTTTTTCTAAGATAAGATTTTGTCTTAAGCATAGCTTCTATCACAGCTTCCTGAGAAGTGAATTACAAAGGGAGCAAAGGCACAGCCTGGAAAGAAAATCATTGCTGTTGCTGGGAAGTTATAAAGAATGAGAAGATCTTATTCAAATTAGTGTACATTTAATAGAGCCCCAAGGATGAAGAGTGTGGTGTGCCGGGGAAAGGTCTAAGTTCCTGGTGTCGGCAGTGATGCTGGCATCTCTTTCCACAGCAAGCACTCACCCCTCCATGGAGAGAGCAGGGTGGACTTGGCAATTTTAACTGTAGCCACATTTTGGGGCTCCTCCATTCCTTCTCTCTGGATTTCCAGTTCAGTCACTTCTTTCCCTGAAGAATTCAAAGCGGAAAGGCTGGGTCTATGTCATGGACACAGCTACTTGTTCGATGAAGCTGGCCAGGTTTATGTCCCGTTCCGAAAGGCCCGCACACTCGTGGGTGCTCAGGGTGATATGGACCTGAAACAAAAGCAGATTTTCGGGGCCTGCTGATTCCACTACTTACCCTAAGGGCAAAGAGAGGCACTAGCTGTTCAGCTCAGGCACGTGAAGAGCTCCAGAAAATAGGCATACCGCATTTTATTGTGCTTTGCAGATACTGCATTTTTTTTACCAGTTGAAATAAAAGACCCTCCAGCAGCAAAAAAGATTATAACTTGCTGAAGGCTCAGACAGCATTTTTTTTTAGCAATAAAGTATTTTTTAATTAAGGTATGTACATTGGTTTTTTAGACATAATGCTTTGTATACTTAATAGGTTACAGTGTAGCACAAACATAACTTTTATATGCACTGGGAAACAAAAATTTTGTGTGACTTGCTTTATTGTGATACTCACTTCATTGCGGTGGGCTGGAATTGACTCGCAGTATATCTGAGGCCTGCCTGTAATAGCCAGATACTACAATCTCCCCTGGGGTCTGCCATCCTGACATGTTTTTATAACATTGCTATCTTCTACTACATCTCCAAAAACAATGGTGACTTTAGCTATAGGGTAAATGAAATATCCAAATATCAACAGCAACCTAAAAGTGAAAGACTAGGTCAAAACCAACTCCAGCTCCTAAACACTATCCATTTACAGATCATCTTTTCCAGCCTTAACGTTTTTAGAAAGAATCCAGATAGCTGTTTGCACATGGCAGCATCTAATGACTGTTCCGGTTCATTCAGCAGCCAGTCTGATCTGTTTGCTGTGCATGGCTCTTCTTGGTTCAATTTTATTACTTTTTCATTCTTCCGTACATCCAGAAAGATTTAAGTCATGTAGAGCTACTAACAGTGAATAGGTCTGATTCCCATGGGCTTTCCTTCCATGGGTTTTGCCATCTTGCTGTCTATTTAATGTCTACTTTAACCGTAGGTTATCTCACAGTGTTTTAATTTGCATTTCTTTAATGTAGAGTTAGACCGAGTATTTGTTTATGTTGATTCTAGGAAGATGAATGAAGCAGGAGGAGAGGACAGTCAACCTATGGGTGAGGAGCGGGCACAGGGAAATCCAAGGAAGGGGCCTTCAGAATGAGGTGGCGTTCTCAGAACTTGGGACAGGGCCGAGCACAACACACACACATCACTCACCTTGTTGTACACGTTAAACCATTCAGGATGGTGGTCCAGTTTCTCCGCCTGCAGGGCCACTCTTGTCATGAAGCCAAATGCCTATTTCGTGAAGTAAGACCTAGGTTAGTGTTTGGAGAAAGAGACTGCTGGGCACCTTTATATGGCCAGTGTAAGGCCTCAATCAGGAGGTTGGATGAGCTTCCTGTAAGGAAACTCCTTCTAGCTTTAATCATTCTGCCTGGCATCCTGCCACTGGCTCTGAGGCTGGAGTTCAAGGTGGTCTTTCTGGAGTAGGAAGGAGGTCTTGTTACTCGAGTCACTAACAAGGTGTTTAGTCTTGGTCAATCTTTTCTCTACTAAAATGTTTCCTACTTAACTATATCCTCTAAGGATTGTTTCTCAAAGTTCCAGGTGTGGAGAGCCCAAGACTCATTTACCCACTCTCCAATCCCCACGGATGACACTTCCTGAATTAATATAGTGTCTGAGAGTCCTGGCTAACATGACTTTAAGGGAGAGAACAAGTTCTGGAGTGTGACCCCATTAGCCCCAGTCTCAGAAAACTCTGTCCCACCCTGGTGCCATACCCTATTGAAGTCTTTGAAATGGAATTGCTTGAAGATGGCGTCTCGGCCTTCCAGCTCATTCCATCCCACAGCCCTCAGGTTTGGCAGCAGCTGGTCCCTCTCCTCAGTACTTAGCCTGTGTGCTTTGCCAGCCTAGGAAAGGGAACAAACAGAGGCCCAAGGGCAATTCTTTGTACAGGACAAACGAGAGGGCCCCAGACCTTTGGGGGAATTGAGCCAGCTTCCACTGGCTGCTCTGGAGGTGGGGTGACACAGTCAAAGGACAGCTGGTCTAAAGCAATAGACTGGGAGGTGTCTAGGGTGGCACCCTGCCCTGGAGGTGGGGCCCTGGCTCATGCACTGATAGGTTCTTAGATTTTACATTCCACTCAGAAGAACAGAAAATCCTGAGGTGTGATGTAAATCTTTGGGACTGGAACACTTCTCCCCCACCCTTGCCCCCAAAGCCTTACAGAGCCCTCTCCCCAAAAAACTAGGTTTCTCACATTAATGAGGCAGTAAAAGCAAAACCAATCCCAGCTGTTTATGTATTACAACACAACCTTTCAGAAAAAGAGTACCCCCTGACTGTCCAACCTTCCTTTTCCTATTATGGACCTATGCAGTCCATCCCTCTGCCCCTACAGGTGTACTGAAAAGGAAACTGAGGCCTAAAGAGGGAAATGACCACTGCTCTTCCCCACCCTCACCCCCAGTGAGAGCACAGGCATTGTTCCCTAAGTGGGTCTGTGCCTCTGCCTCTCTGGGGCCAGCAAAGGACCCAGCACTTAACTTCCAGGTGATTCTTAGCCACATCGCAGTTGACAACCACTGGCACTACCTCCCAATGATCTAGGTACTCCACAATGCTCCCATGCAGCCTCTGGTTCCCCGCTGCCAGGCCTAGGGTTCAGACTTCCACCTTTTCTGTCGGCCTGAGAAGCTGGAGCCACACAGCTCTGTTAAAAGTGGAAGTAACTTGGCCAAAGTGGCTGGCAAACCTGGTGCCCCATCCATAGATTTACCTATTGTGCAAAGTGCCCTCAGGGCAGCCCAAATCGGTACAGTTCAGGCCATGAGCAGAACCCTCAGAGAACAGAAGGAAGTAAAGGTCCCATCCTCTGGGAAGATCCACGTCTGGGAGCTTAAGGGATCCCAGAGTTAGGCTCCTGAAGTAGAACTAACCAAGGACAAACTGTAGAGTGCTAAATGAAAGATGAAATTAAGAAGGTCTGGAGAGAGAATGTGAGGGAGGTTAAATTCAGCATTTATGAGGCAGGCCACAGACTTGAAGCCATGAGTTGAGTTGGCAGGACTGGTTCAAGCCCCACGTCTGCCATTCTCCAGCCAGATGGCCCCACACACTCAGCTCTTGGCTTCATGGGTAAAAGGGGACCAGAACTTCCACTTCACATCAGCGAGAGGAGCCCGTGGGACACTTTAATAAGGGAATGTCATCTGCATTTTTAAAAGGAGGCTTCCTGGGGCAGTAGGCTTATGATGGGCCGTGCAGATTTGGGCAGAATCGGAAAAGGACTGCAGCACTCTGATGAGTCGGTCTTTTTCTCCCTCCTGAAAACCTGTGTTCTCTCTGGAAGATCTGACTTGGTCTGTCTCCTCTCCTAGGCTCCAGAAGTCTAGAGACAGCAGTAGAGATCCACATCACATGCCCAGCCCCCATCTTTATTCCAAAGCTGGCCCTTTCTCAGTGGCTGATAAGCCTGGTCCACGTATCCAGGCAACCAGATGACCAGATGTCAGCCAAGGCATCAGAGCCCACTGTTTAGTTCTTTGGCTCTGAAAGGAGTGGGTGGGTACTCCTGGGAGCTCCCTTTCTCTTTAGAGTCTTCTGGAATCCCCCAAGACTCACAGCCTGGGGCTGAACCAACAAGCCCCTCAGAGAGGGTGAAGGGGTGGTGTTTACTTAGTAAATCACAGACCAGGCCTGCCTGGCCTGGGCCTCTGGGAGAGTGTGTAAGGAGTTACTGATTTACCCACACCCTGCATCTTTGGGTCCTTGGTGCACCTCACAGTCAGCCTCACTCAGTACCTCCTCTGCCTCTGAGCCATAGCCTTCAAAATGCCCTCCCAGGCGTCACTGCAGTCTGGACTGCTCCTAACACATTCAAGCAAGAAATGGGCTGTGAAGTAAAGCTTCTGGGGCCTACCCCTCTTCTGGCTGCCCCCAGGTCTCACCTTCACCTCTCTAACTGGGGTGGGGGGGTGCTGAAGCACAGGTGAGCACAGAGGCTGGGACCCTCGGTGTTGGGGCTGGCTCCGAGGCCGGGGACAACACGGGTGCACAGAGGGCTTGGACAGCTCCTGCGCCCAGAAGAGCAAGCCGGAAGGGCAGTAAACAGGTATGCAGAGGAACACACAAATTCAGTCTTTCCTCCTCACACACACACACACACAGGTGTCTCCGCCTACCCCACCTCCCTTCCCCAAATACAGAATGGAACCGGAGGGGAACGATATCTGTCCCTCAACCCCTGGCCCTAGTCCCACCGCCCCACCTCCGCCTAGGGCGATTACTAAGCCCCGCCCGAGGCATTGTGGCGCCTAGGGGCTCTGGCCTGAGAGCCAGGGGCAGGCCTGGCTGTTACCTGGACCCGCCACGGCCCTCTCCGGGGCTCAGCCACCCCTGCGGCACCATCGGGGATGGGAGCAAAGCGCACACCCCGACTCTCCACCGGGCGCGCGCCTGTCTGGGAGGGGATCAGAGGAACCCTCCCCCACCCTGCCCCGCCCTGTCCTTGCAGCCGGCCAGGCCTGGGACCCCGTGTGGCCCCCGTACTCTCTCCCGACCCCACTGCGCGCCTGTTCCTAACGGGGCTGCGTCGGTAGCGGGGGCGCGCTATCCCCCCTCACCATGTTGGGGCGCAGCGCGGACGTGGGCGAGCAGCAGGTGGCGGCGGTGAGGGCGAGCGCGGCGCGGGGTGCACGGGGCGGCCGTGGGGCGGGGCTGCGCTCGGGCCGCCCCGGGGCGGGGACGCAGCCGGGGAGGAGCGCCACCCGTAATCATTAACTCCCGCCAGCTGCGACCGGCGTCGACTCCTTTCCAACGCTTACCTTCGTGCCCTTGTTTCGGGGAGCTCGGGGGTTAAGGGAGCCGGCTACAAATGCAGACTTAGGCGTTTGAATCGCGCTTTGCCACTTACCAGCTGTGTGACCCTGGGGGCGATATTATTTTTTTCTTTTTAAAAACACTTTATTGAGGTATTGATCTACTATAAGCTGCACATATTTAAAGTGTGCAGTTTGATGCGTTTTGACATATGTATGCTCCTGTGCAACCATCACCACAATCAAGATCATGAACATATCCCTCATCCCTAAAAATTTCCTCTTCTGTCCTCGCACAGCCATTGATCTGCTTCCTGTCACTATAGATCAGATTGCATTTTCTAGAATTCTATGTAAATGGAAATCATACAGTATATATTCTTTTTGTGTCTGGTTTCTTTCACTCAGCATAATTGCTTTTGAGGTTCACCCATCTAGTTTCATGTTATCAGTAGTTTTTTTCATTTTATGGCTAAGTAAAATTTTTTATACTATTACATTGTTTTGGATGTTACAACACACATCACGATTTGTTTATCCATTCACTTGTTAATGGACATTTGAGTTGTTTCCAGTTTTTGAACTGCAATGAACTTCCACATACAAGTGTTTGTATGGATAGATGCTTTAATTTTTCTTGAGTAAACACCTAGGAATGGAATGGCTAGGTCATATGGTAGATGTGTGTTTACAACTTCTTAGGAAACTGCCAAAATGGTCACACCATTGTGCAACCTCACCAGCCGTGTGTGGCAGTTACAGTTCCCTGGCATCCTCACAGATACACCAGTACTTGGCATGCATGGTAGGTCTTTTTCATTATAGCCTTTCTCATTGGTGTGTAGTGGTATCTCCATGTCTTAATTTGAATTTTCTTAATCACTAATGATACTGAACACCTTTTCATGTGCTTATTTGACATTGGCAAATCTTTGGTAAAGTGCTTGTTCAAATTTCTTATCCATTAAAAACAACTTTGAGTGTTTGTTTTCTTGTTGGGTTTGAGAGTTCTTTATTTTGGATACAAGCCCTTTATCAGATATGTGATTTACAAATTTTTTTTCTTTTGCATTTTTGTGATGTCTTGCAAAGAACACATGTTCTTAATTTTGATGAAATTCAATTTATCAAATGTTTCTTTTATGGATTGATAATTTGGTGCGGGCACTAAGAAATCTTTGACCCAAGTCACAATGATTTCCTGCTATATTTTCTTCCAATATTTACTCCTATATTTTATAGTTTTTGATTTTACATGTAGGTCTATTATCCATTTTTAGTTAATTTTTTATATGCTTTCAGTTATGGATCCAAAATAACTTTTTACCTATGGATATTAAATTGTTTCTTTTTCCACTGAATTACTCTTGTACCTTTGTAAAAAAAAGAAATCAATGGACCATATATGTGCAGGTTTATTTGTGGATTCTCTATTCTGTTCCATTGATCAATTTATCCATCTTGATGCTAATACCATACTGTCTTGATTACTATAGCTTTATAAGGCTGAAAGTCAGGTAATATAAGTCCTCTGACATTAAAACACTTTTTTTGTATTAAACTTTATCCCTACACTCCACTTTTATTCCTCTCCCAATAGTGACCTTTCTAATGTGTTAATATGGAGTTTTGTTTGTACACGTTCTTATAAAAACGTGTGTTGTTGTTTCATCTGTATTTTTTTTTTTTTTTTTGGTAAATGGTACTGTATATTATATCTCATTCTGTTTCTTTCAAAACAGAAGTCAGGCGGACAATTAATATTCATTCATGTTACTGTACGTATCCTTAATCTGTAGCTTGTACCTGCTGCTTAGTATTCCCTGGTGAGAATCCACTGTGATTTATTGATCCACTAGTGATGGACAATCAGGTTGCTTCCAACTCCCCACCTCACCCTTGGCATTATCTAGCTTTTAAATTTTTGCCATATTAATAGATATAAAACGATAGCTCACTTTTTTACTTTGCATTTTGCTGATTACTAACTACTCTGAGCACCTCTTCATATGCTTCTTAGCACTTGGGACTTACTGTTTATAAATTGCTTTTTAATATCCTTTGCAAATGTTTTAGAATTTACAGTGCTCTTTTTTAGTTGATTTGCAGGAGTTTATATCTAGACATTAATTGCTTATCAGTTTTAGATATTGCAAACATCTCCTTCCATTCAATCATTTGTATACTAATGTCTTTTGTCTTTTGTTGTCAGAAATCTTGTATTTTGGTGTGATAAGATTTATTTTTTCCCTCTACTTTATAATTTAGTGCTATTAAAGATTTATTTGATAAGTCCCTCCCACCCCTGCCACAAAAAATATTCTCTTCTGTTAAATTTATTATTAGATAAATTTAAGAGCTAAATGTGAAAGGTGCCCCTTTGTATACAATGTTAGGCAGGATGTTAGCTAGTCTCTGAAGATGGCCCTCCAGTGAACCTTGACGCTCAGCGCTCACCTTGTGGCCTCTGCTAATCATCTGCCAGCCAAGCTTCTTGGGGATCAGTGCCCAGCAGAGACCAGGCAACCCATGAGCTACGAGAAATGGTACATAGTTATTTTAAGCCACCACATTTGGAGGCGGTTTGTTATGTAGAAATAGGTAATAGGACAAATAGATTTTTGAACAAAAATTGGTACCTGGAAATAGAGTGTTAAGACCGCCCGAAAATGTAGTGTTAGCTTGGGAATGGTAGCAGGTAGAAGGCAGAAGGCAGTTTAAAACACAGTAAGAAGGATTTCACTTCAGCCCAAGATGAAAGCTGGAGTGCTGCTCCTACACTAACGATGAGAAAAGCTTGGATATACTACAAAATCACCACCTTTCTTCAGCTTACCAAGGCGCTGAGGTCACAGGACAACCAAGTAGCCTGAATTCAAGAGAGGCAGGCACCTCCGAAGAGAGACAGGATGTTCAGACTGGCTCACCTGTCCCAGCGCTCAAGGAGGGAGTGGGGAAGACACACAGTTTCCCTAAGAGTGAGTAAGAAATCAGTTAAAATGTTAAATTGTTGGAAGCCAGGTGTGTGCTGGCGCATCAGTCTGGATGGCTGGGAGAGTTTGCACACATAAGCAGTTTTTATTTCTAGGCCTTCACCGGGTTCTCAGGAGACAGAATGGGGGAAGGGCAAGAGATGAGAATGAGACCCCCTCAGCCAAGCAGGCAGGGTTAAGAGGGGATTGGCTGCTGCTGTGGGAAAACTGCCAAACCTCACCTTTCTCTCCAGACTCTTGTCTTAAAGGAGAAAAAGACTTAAGTTCCTAGGAGAGAGCCAGCAAATCCTATCATTCCCAGGGCCCAGATAAAGACCTATTGTAGCTTCATTTCTGGTAAGAGAAAAAAGTCCCTCTGCCCTGGGGGAGGTGCGGCAACCAGTTCCAGTTCTGGGTGGGGGATCCTATGTCAATACCATTAGAGGTCTTCTACCTCGGAAGGAGTGGGAAACTCCTGCACAAGAGCCGCAGATAGAAGGTGGTCTGGCTGCCATGTGTGGGGTGGGTTGGGGGGGCAGATGGTCAGGAACAATGAGAAAGCTCCAGCCCCCAGGACAACAGAGAGCCCACCCCTTCCACGACCTTGAACTTAGCACTCGGCTGCAACAATAGTAGTCTGTCTACCAATGGTGAAGGGCAAGTATGGAAGGACTGGGAAAAAAATGCCACCTGAGGGTATCATGTACTGAAGAGGATGTGGGGTCACTGGAACTCTCGTATATTGCTGGTTGGAAAAATATGGTTCAGCCCCTTTGGAAAACAATTTGGCAATTCCTTATGGAGTTAAACATATACTTACCTTATGAATCAGCAGTCCCACTTCAAGAAAAATGAAAGCATATCCACACAAAAATACCTGTATGCAAATGTGTATGGCAGCTGTATTTGGAAATAATCCAAGTATCCATCAACAGATGAATGAAAAAACAAAGGTGGTCCATTCAGACACTGGAATACTACTCAGCAACATAAAGGAATGAATTGCTGGCCCATGCAAAAACATGGATAACTCACAAAAGCATTATGCTAAGTGACAGAAGCCACACTCAAAAGCTTTTCACAAACTATTTTTTTTTTAAAGGAAATTGCTTACAAATATTACACATCTGATGATTCGAAAAATTTTCCAGAGAGTAGATGCTGACTCTGGACACATCGAGCCTTATTTCCCCTTCATTACCCACAGGCTTCTCTGTCCGGGACCACAGGACACACTCATACTGCTTGCAATGCTGGCCCTGCAACTTTATGTCACAATGCTGGGCAAGTCGGGACTGCTGGAGGTGGGGATACTTCTGGAAAATGTTCCTATAACCAGGAGGGCTAGTAATAAGTAACCCAGACATGGACATGACTGAGACTCACGTTCATGTATCTATCTAAATCCAAGTATCCCCAACTCAGCTTGCCCTTAGTCTGATCCCCAAACACACCCAACAATTTATTCTAACACAACCAACGTGAATAGTGTGACATAGGGAAAGTTGGAGTGACAAAAGACAAGGGGCTTAACCTGCTGCTTGCCGGGGAACCTGCCCTGCAGAACACCTCCACTCCCTCCGCCGCCAGTTCCTGACCATCCTTTCTTCATGTCCTCTCTTTCCTCAGCACTCATTTCTTTTCTTTCCTTTGATCCTAAAGGATGAAAAACAGCACCTCTGAATCCCCCATGGTGTCTGGCACTCTGCCTATACTTAATACCCTCTCAGCAATGTTTCCCAAAGCTATGTTTGCCTGCTGGTTTTTTTTGTAGCTGAAATGGCTACGGAACAACGTAGACACTGTACTCAAGAAGTACTGTCTGACGATGACAACTCTGTGACTCTAACGTTTATTAGTACTAATTCTTTTTTTGCCAGATCCTAGGCTAAGAGTCTAAAAGTAAAAACAAACAAA